TTTGGTACCCAGGATTGAACTCAGGACCTTGTGCTTGTGAGGCAAGCGGTGATACCACTGAGCTAAATCCCCAGCCCCATATATATCTTTAGAGAACTGGCCATATCACTGAAATAATTCATAAGAACTGAACAGCCAGGCATGGCGACGCATGCCTGTTGAAGGACCCTTGTTAACAAGACAGACTCCATATTGCTGCTTGACCCACCTGCCTGCCCTTTAGGTGAACTCAGAAGAAGGAAGCTTAGAAACTTCCTCCCCTTAGAGAGTCTCTTAGAAACAACAATTAATCAACTATTGTTTTACAAATGTTCTAACAGCAGAATGTCTCCCTTCTGTACCGGTTGCTACACTCCCCTAACCTAACCACCAACGTCTCGCTTCTGTACAGCTGCTTGCCAAGTTCCCTTTTGCGACCCCTATAAAAGGACCTCAGACTCTGAGCCGGGCACCTCGCTAAGCTTGGTGCTTGGAGGGTGCCATCTGGCCAGACTAATAAAGGTCTGTTTTACTTTCTCAATTTGTCCGGTGTGTTCCCTCCCGGGTGATCTTTGCTGTAGTCAGCTCCTCGGAGCGTTTGGTGAGGCCCACGGTCTTACACTGTAATGCAGGAGTACCACTGTGAGTTTGGGGCCAGCCCAGGTTACATAATGAGCTCAAAGCCAGCTTGGGCTGCCTACTGAGACCCTGTCTCAAAAAACTAAAAACCAGGGCTGGGGATTTAGCTCAGTGGTGCCACCACCTGTCTTGCAAGCTCAAGGTCCTGAGTTCAATCCCCAGTAGCAAAACAAAACAAAATAAAAACTAAAAACCAAAACCAAAACCAACGAACCAACCAACAAACAACTCTTCCCCTAAACAAACAAAACAAAACAAAAAAGAAATAAACAATAGCTCTTCAGGGAAGGGTTCCTAGATTTTCACCTGAGCTCAAACTTTACAACTTGCATTTGCTCCTATCCTTTCTCCTGTTGTACTATGATAAAGGTGGTATTTTCCTGCCTGTATAAGTCAAATTTTTCAAAAGTATTCTAGATTCAATTCCTACCTACTTTCTCAGGAACTTCATACTATTGACTATCTTTTTCTTTCCTGTATCTTCAATTCCTCTACTTTTAAAAATTATTATTTAAACATGACCTTGCTATTGTAAAAAAGTTTCCTTCATACCTCTACCTCCCTTGACCTACCACCCTTTCTTTCAAACCCTTCACAGCTCAATTTCTCAAAGTTTCTATGCTTCCTGTATCATTCTCTCACTTCACTTGTTTCTCAAGCCATAGCAAACTGGTTTTTCCAAATAAACTGTGATTAAATCACCACTATCTTCTAAGGTGTTAATTTATCAATGGAATTTTTCCAACCTACATTTTACTTGACATTGATTTCCAACTGTCATTTCTTCCTTTATGAAATACTTCCATTTATCATATTACTCAGGGATCTGTCCATGTCAATATTCTCTCTTCTCCTTTTAGATTAAAATCCTAGATAATCTCAGTCACTTAATGTTTTCAGTGAATGTTTACATGACTGTGGTCTCAAAAGTCTTCTACTTTTGACTTGAACATCATCCCTGGTCTTCTAAAACTCCTTGCTGAAGAACTAAATATAGATTACAAACCATTAATACCCATCCCTTCAACTCAAGTTTAAAAAATACATAGTATTAAAAGAGCACAATATTCAGGGGTTGGGGATATAGCTTAGCAGCAGAATGCTTGCCTAGTATGTACAAGGCCCTAGGTTTGATCCCAAGTACCACAAAAGAAAAAGAAAAGGGTTAACAAAGCCTTAAGGATGCCAGTCCATGGCAGATCTGATTATGTATCAGACCTGAGTTTGATCTCAGCACCACCTACCAAACAAACAAACAAACAAAAACAGTACCTGGTAAAAAGAAAAGGGAAATAAGACATCTATGCCCTCTATTCTTGGTTAAACAGCACAAACATAAGTGAAGGAATGTAAAGATGAGCAATAATCTGAAATCATCCAACATGGAGCCTATACACAGTAGAATATAAATGAAAAGAGGAAGAGAATATAAATAGAAATTTTAAGTATAAGCTTCTGTAGGTCATTAAAGAAGTTAAAAGAGAACACAAAATCATTTAAAACAAAGATCATCACGAAATAAAGCAACCAAAGAAAAAAATCCAAATGAACTTTTAGAGGTAAGAAGACCTACTCACCAGAGGGAAGGAAATTATAAAATCATTACGGAAATGAAAACTACCTTAGTAGAAATAAAAATCATAATCTGCTAAAACCAGTCAATGATAAAGGATTTAGGTAGTGGGAGTGAAATATTGAGATGACGTACTTCAGGGTGAAGCTGTATAGCAGGCGTAACAAGCAATAGGTCTAGACAGTAACAAAAGGAATGGAAAATCACAAGAGGATCAAAAAAAGAAAATATAGGATAGTTGCTTGATGTATTTGAATGTATTGAGAGGATATTCTTTAACTTCATTGACGCTTAAAAGTTTTATGTTGCTATAACTGAATATCATAGATTGGATAATTTATAAAGAATAAAGGTTTATTCTGCTAGTGGTTCTGGAGTTTGGGAAGTCCAAAGACAGGATGATGATGTATCTAAAGTCCTTCCTGGAGAGGAATCTGAAGAGTCCCAAGGTATCTTAGCACATCACATGGCAAGAGGAGCCCATAAAACAGACAGGGCAAAACTGGCTTTTTAAAGAGACCCACTCTTAAAGTAAACCATCCATGAGGGCAGAATTCTTATGACTCCCCATCGCCTCTAAAAGGTCCCACCTAGTCTCACTTAATACTTTACCATAGAGATTAAATTTGAACATGAGTTTTGGTGGGACATTCCAAGCACAACAGAGACTGAGGATGAATTCAGAATAATAAAAGACCATTACCACTTTACAGAAAGGTAAATTGTGTAAGATTACACAGGAAAATATGTAAATTTACCAATTCATACACTTCTGTAAATTTTATTTCTTTTGGAAAGAGACAAAACCATAAAATATCTTTGTAAAGAATTCAGATAAATTTGGTAATGAATGCAAGAAAAAATATTAGATTCTAGGGTAAAATTCTGTAGGACTCTTTCACTGAAGTAATAAGTTATTTTATTTATTTTTAGTCATTAGTATTATTTGTTTTTATAGTGCTAAGGATTGAATCTGGGGCTACATATATGGTAGGCAAGTGCTCTGCCACTGAGATACATCTCCAGTCTCATAATTTATTTTTAGAACTAGAATTTTCCTTTGGGTTTTTTCTTTTAATGCATTGCTTTGCTATTTGTTTAGGAAATATCACATCATGTACTGATCCAAAAAGTAGACATTAGAGGGGATAATGATTCAGATAGGTGTTATATTTGGGTCCAAGAAAAAAAAAGATTGAGTAAAGAAGTCTAAACTGCAAATCAATTGTGTAAAATGACAAATGGCTACAGTATTAGAGATTCAGGTCAAATTATACAGTAATAGAATTATTTTTATAGTATTAATATAGAATATTCCCCATAATGTGAAATCTTTGAGGTTAAGCAGTAATTTATACAACTATGTTAATGATTTCAAAAATTTCTATTTCATACAAATAAAAATGTTTATGGTCACTATATACCTGTTTTTCAAGTTTAGTCTGAATATCTTCTAGCTCTCCATTTCGATTTGTTTCTTGTTGTAACATCTGTTGCTGTTGCTGAAGAGTATGCTGTAAAATAACATTTTGCTCAGAGGTCTCTTGAAGACTGTGACTCTTTATCTTCAGCTCTTTCTGCAAACAATATACCTAACAAATATATATATTATATACATATATATGAATGAAATGTTTCAAAATTTAAAAAGCACTACAATGTAAAAGCTGTCTTTCAATTCAATTATCCTCATCTGTCATACAATTGTAGTTATAGGCTATAGTTAAGGGTATGGTTAATCATATGCTCATAAGGACAGCATAGGTGCAGTATTATTAGGGACTGCTTATAGGGTTGGCTCTTGGGTGGTGTCTGGGGATGTGATGAGATTGTTTTGCATGGCTGGGGCACTGAAACATGCTTTTTATCTGGGCCTATGCAATTTGGATACTTACAAGTTGGCCATCATTCCTTTGTGACCAGCCCCTAATAAAACCTTTAACTTTCAAGTCATAAACAAGTTTCTAGCTGGGTGTGATGGCACATGCCTATAAGTGCAGCATTTTGAAGAGAGGCTGAGGCAAGAGGATCACTGTGAGTTTGAGGCCAGGCTAGGCTAAATAGTAAGGCCCTGTCTCAAAAAAGCAAAACCAAACCAAACCAAAACAACAACAACAACAAAAAACCCCATAAAACAAAAAAAACCACAACAGGGTGTATTTTTAAAAATTTTGTCCTACTTTTAAATGGCCCAAACTCTCTCTGCAGAGCCTGTTTTTTCCTACCTTTAATAACTGAAACTCTGCCACGGTTTAAAACAAAACTTCATAGGTGGAGTAGAGAGAAGACATGACCATATAAATATGAAGTTCTAAAACCTAGCTAAATATGATAAAAACTCTGCAAATCCACATTACAAGATGTTAATTATATTAATCAGCATTAAAGAGTTTTCTCTGTAAGACATTACAAATTTTTTAACCTTCAAGGTTGTATCATTACATGATGTGCTTATTAAGTCTGGAGTGCTGGTCAACTAAGGTTTGCTTTTAGATGTATTTCTGCCTTTTTCCTGCTCTTCTCTATGCACTGTAGGAAATAGCATTTATTAGTAATCCTTGTTCTCTAGATTATTCATAGGTTTGGCTGATGGGAGCGGCCAGTAGCTTCAGTTCTCCTCCTCCGGACCTAGTTCTTGCTATATAGACCCTTTCTCTTTTTTGCCCCAGCTCCCGTGAGGCAGCTTGCTTCTGGATACAGTCATACTACCTCTCCCAGATATTCCTTCTGCCCTAAGGGTGATAGTAGGCTTCTGCTTGTGACAGTTTCTGAGTTGCCTTAGTGTACTGTTTGTCTTCTCTATTCATCTATTATCTGTATATCTAATCTTCTGTATACAATTTTCTCCATGGGAAAGATTTATAAGTGTTTCCATTTATTTGGCCTGATCTTTTCAATAAACTGAAGTCAATCTTTATTAATCCTCATTGAGGATTATTTCTAAAAATAAATTTAGATAGGGTTAATATACCTACATTATAAATTCTAACAAAAAATAAAATAATCTCTTATTTTAAAACAATCTCTTTCACTAAACATTTAGTAAGTGTCATTATATTGAAAGTAAAATGCTACATACCGAGGATAAAAAGATAGTAAGACTGAAGAATGGTCTTTATCTGGGAGTGGTGACACAGGCCTGTAATCTCAGCACTCAGGAGGCTGAGGCAGGAGAATCACAAGGTTCAAGGCCAGCCTGGATTACATAATGAGTTCAAGGTCAGCCTGAACTACATAGTGGGACCCTATTTCAAAAACTAAAATGAAAGGCGTTTAATGTAGTATCTGAGACCTTATCCCCAAAAGAAAGTTCAATTTTTTATTTTATTTTATTTTTTTTGAGGCAGGATCTTGCTATGTAGTTCAGGCTGGCCTCCAAATTTTGGTGCTCCTCCTCCCTCAGACTCCTGAGTGCTGGGATTATAGGCATGCCCCACAACATCTGGCTTTAAAAAAAGATACACTTTTAAAGTATCTTGAAAATAATATCTCAAAAAAAAATCACTTGGAAAATGTGCAACATATAAAGGAAATGTTAATTTACCTCTTCCGATTTCTTTTTTAGTTGTTTTTCAAACTTTTCCTTATTACCTTCCAATTGATTCAAATGCAAAGCAAGTTCTTCCTTACACATTTCTAATGCTGAATCTAGCTGTCTGACCTAAGCAAGAAATAAAAATCAATTTGTCATTATATGCTTGACATTTTACAGACTCATCTCCTACTGTTACATCATTGCTTCAAAGATTAAATATACAGTCCTACTTACAATATAAAATGCCATAACAGAAAACATTCTTTTGAAAAAATAGCTTCTTCACTGCAAATGAGGGAACCAAAGAGGAAAACAGAGAATGGAATTCTAAAGATTATTTCATGCCTACAACCTTTGTATACTCATGACTTTTTTTAGTATTAATGAACTTTGAGGTTATTCTTATATGAGGAAATAAATTGACATTGGTGAATCTATAGTTAATAGTTATGATACACATACCATTATGTTTATATGGGCATACAGAGTCACAAAATGGATTAAATTCAATACTAGACAAAATTAAACAACTTTAAAAAACATCTTTTATATTCAAGTTATGTATGATAGAATTAGGTAGCAGGATATTTAGACCTATTATCTCCATGAATGCAGAGGAGAAAATACTGAATATATAGCAGTCCCCATTTATCCACAACAGCTGGGGATTTAGCTCAGTGGTTCCGTTGCCTGCCTCGAAAGCACAAGGTCCTGAGTTTGATCCCCGGTACCAAAAAAAAAAAAAAAGCATTTATTCACAAGAGGTATTCAAGAACCACAGATAGTATTGAATCACATATGAACTGTTTTTTATACATATGTGCACAAATTTAATTCCCATTCCATCTTAATTACACACTTAGCACAGTGTATAACTTTTGCAGTTTGAATTGCAACAGTAAAACTAATATAGATTTTCATTCCTTACAATTCAATGCACAGGTTTGTTCTTACTATTGATATCACCACCTCAAGTACACAAGCCGCCGCCCCCCCCCCCACCAATTCCTTATTAAGTCAAGGAACTTTTAATCTTTTTCCTGAAAGAAAATGCTTTATAGCTTCTATTTGACAAACCGTTGGATCATTAAGTAAAATAAGGGTTATTTGAACATAAGCAATGTGATAGTGTGCCGATAAATCTGATAGCCTAGATGGCTACTAAATGACTAATGGGCAGACAGTATATACTAAATGGTACTTTGAACAAATGAATGATTCACATCCTGGGTGGAACATACGGGGAAAATGCAAGATTTCTTCACAGTACTCAGAATGATGGACAATTTAAAACTCATGAATTGTCTATTTCTCAAATGTTCTATTTAATTTTTTTGGACCACAGTTAACTACAGGTAATTGACCAGGCAAAGTGAAACCAGGAATAAAGGGTGGGGGGATTACTGTGTAACAATTAGTTATTACACTAAGTTGAGTAACTCACTATGTGCTAAGCACTCTATTTTGTTTCATTTAATATTTAAGGTATTGTTATCCCTAATTTACAGATGAATAAAATTAAAGTTTAGACAGCTTAAATAACCTGGTCAAATTTTAGCCAGGTAGTATTGCACTGTGAAGCCAGAAATGAAATCCAATTCAGTAACAAAGTCCATGGTTTTTTTTGTTGTTGTTATTGTTTTTTTGAAGACAGGATCTCACTATGTAGTTCAGGCTGGGTTTGAACTCACTACATAGCCCAAGCTGGCCTCAAACTCAGTGATCCTCCTGCCTCAGCCTCCCAAGTGCTGGGATTACAGGTCAGCACCACCCTGCCCAGCAAAGTCCATTTTTTAAATCATTTTTTTTCATTTCATTAGTACATGTTTGTAGTTCATGCAGTTTACAATCACCTTGGAGAGTGGTTACATGTACATATCACAGCTTCTTTTGTTTTGATTTTTAGGTACAAAACCATATCCTAGCTGCAAATTATGGGTTCAATTTAACAGAAGAACTGGTAAAAAGAGGCAAAATTGGATGACTTTCACTTTCATTTCCTCTTTAATTCTTTGGTAATGCTAGTAAGTTGCAGTAACAGTTAAAGTTAAAAAATCCTTTTTTGAGGTTAAGAAAACTTTTAATACAAAAAGGGGCCAACATACAAATGACATTACTATCCAATAATTAGGATTAAAATAGAAATGAAATTCACTTAGTCAAGTCAAGCTGTCAACTCTCAATTGACTTTTAGGTATACAACTTATGAAAAAAGCTTAAAAGCCACAAGAATGTCTCCAATAAAAAAAACAAAAGTATCAACATACTAGCCTTGATTGTTTCTTCAGATACTTGATTTTGTAATGCTTTCAAAGCTTCATCTTTCCTCATATTTTCCTTTTCCATTTCCTGAAAAAGTAAACATTTGTAGAGAAAATATATGGATGCAAATAAACATTTCTGCATTAAATATAAGCTATTAAACAACTGATTTAATTAATTTAAGGTATTTTACAAAAACTTAAAATATTAGCTTTTAAATAGCACTTTTGTAAAGATGAATTTACCACTTTGCTTTCTGTCAAAAGTCTATCTAGTGACTCAAGATGATGCTGTTTACACATTATATCTTGTTGCAATATGGACATAGTATTTTCTTGCTCTTTAAATTGCTGGTCTTTTTTCTCCAGTTGAGTTTCAAGCTAAACAATAATAACAAAAGGAATTAATTTTCATATTAAACTTATAAAATATTTTAAATATACAGAAGAAAATATATGTGAAGCTGTCACTGAAATTACAGTGCTCATTTTGGCAGAACATATACTAAAATTGTCACAGAAATTACACTGATTTTTGCATTTTAATATTTATTTTTTATTTATTTTTTGAGATGGTGTCTCACTATGTAGTTTAGGCTGGCCTTCAACTCACTTTGTAGCTCAGGCTGGCCTCGAACTTAAAGCTATCTTCCTGCCTCAGCCTCTTGATTGCTGGGATTATGGCATCTATTAGTTTTTTGAGGAATCTCTGTACTGGTTTCCATAATGGTTGTACTAGTTTACATTTCCACCAATCATGTAGAAATGTTTTTTTTTCTTGCAGCTTTGCCAGCATTTGTTGTCTGATTTCTTGATAGGCATCCTTTCTGAAGTAAGATGGAATTTTAGTTTTGTTTTAATTTTGCATTTTTCTAATTTTTTTCGTGTATTTATTGGCCATTTGTACTTCTAAGAAGTAACTGTTCGTTTCAGTTACCCATTTTTTATTGTCTTTTGTTTTGGGGGGGGTCAAGTCTTTTGGGTTCTTTATATATTCTAGATATTAGTCCTCTGTCCAAGGAATAGATGGCAATTTTTTTTCTATTCTGTAGGTTGTCTCTTTACTCCATTGGTTGTTTCCTTCGCTGTATAGAAGTTCTTTAATTTGATATGATCTCATTCGACCTAGTTATTCCTCTCCTAGTATGTCCCCAAAAGAGTTAAAGACATCATATTATACTGATAAATGCATACCCTATATACTGTTGTATAATTCACAATAGCTAAATCTTGGAAATGACTTATATGCCCATCAACAGATGAATATATACAGAAAATGTGGTATTTATACACAATGGAGTACAACTCTGCCATAAAGAAGAATAAACTTGAGTCACTGGCAATAAAATGGATGTACCTTAAGACCATAATGTAGAGTTAAATAAATCAGACACACACACTTAAATATCACATGGTTTCTATTATAAGAGAAATTTAAAATATAAATAAAGAGTAAAATAAAAGATAACAGGAAACAGCAAGATGGATCTTTTGCATATGGGAAGGGGACCAAGAGCTAGAGGGAAGGGAAAGGAGGGGAAATGGATTTTCAAAAAATTAATTAAGATGTGTTATGTACATGTACCGACTCCCCGTATTAGTCCTCTGTCCAAGGAATAGCTGGCAAAAAAATTACCCATTCTGTAAGTTGTCTTTTCACACTATTGATGGTTTCCTTTGCTGTGCAGATTTTTAACTTGAAATAATCTCATTTGTTAATTTTCTGTAATATTTCCTGTTTTGTTCATAAAGTCTTTGCCTATCCCTATATATTCAAATATTTTACCTATTCTACCTTCCAGGAGATTAAGTATTTCTGTTTCAATATTTAGATCTGCCCATTTCTATTTTAGCTTACTGCATGATGAGAAAAGGGAGAGAAGGAAGAAAGAGGAAAAGGAAGTAAAAGGGATTGAGATATGTATGTGTACCAATTCCCATGACAATATTAGTTTCTTTGTATATAGCAGAAATACAACTGTTTTTTAAATTTTAACCTTGTACCCCATGCTCTTGCTTACTTACCAGTTTTAGGTATTTGTAGATTGAGATTTTCTGTACAGTCATGTTGTCTACAAAAAGAGATTAACTTTTATTCCAATTTAACTGGCTTTTACTTCTTACTCGTTGCATTTTTGCTTCTAGCGTTGAACAGCAGTGATGAGAACAGGTATTTTTGCCTTGCTACTACCCATCTTAGGGGACAAGTGTTCAGTCTTTTACCATTAAGTATGTTATCTATTGGACATTTTTGTGGATGCCGTGTATCAGATTAAGGAATTTCTCCTCCATTCCCAGTTGGCTCGTTTTCATCATGAGAGAATGTTTGTGTTAAATGATCTTTCTGCTTCTTTTTTTAAATGGTCATGTAGATTTTTATGCATTTGATTGGTTAATATGGTAGATTACATCAATTGATTTCTGAATGTTGAACCAGCCTCCTTTTCCCAGGGTAAACCCCAGGGTTCTCTGTGTGCACGGGAGGAGGTGAGGGAATTGTTATTGTCTGTATCTAGATGTCCCGCTAAAGCCTCAAGAGCTTGTAGGTGGGCTTTTCAGAGCTGGCTGAATCTAGGGTATGTGATACTGGGATTAGGGATGTGTGGTACTAAATAAGTCTACTGATTGGTTTAGCACAGTTCTGGGTGTAGGAAGGCCCACCCTAGGTGTGGGTGGTACCACCCGAAAGGCTTGTATCCTGAATGGGATAAAATCAGAGGGAGGCTTACTTTGCTACTTGCTGCTGCTGCTCCCTTATGCCTCCCTTGCCATGACTGTTTCTCTTCTGGGATACTCCTCTACCAATATGTCACCCTGCCTTAGAGCCAGGTGACTATGGACTGAAACTCCTACAAACTGTGGGGTGAAATAAACCTTTCTTCCTTTCACTTGTGGGTGTCAGGCATTTTGTCTTGGAAATGAAAAGTAAGACAGGAATATATTCATTACTAAATTTGGTCTGGTAGTATTTTGTGAATATTTTGCTTCTATGTTTATGAGGGATATTTATATAGTCTATATTTTCTGGTATTGTCTTAGTCTTATTTTGGTAATACTAGGCTTATTAAATGAGTTAGGAAGTGACTCATCTTCTTCTGTATTCTTGCAGAGACTATAAGACATCTGTGTTATTTCTTCCTCAAGTGTGCAGAAGAATTTATTTACCAGTGAAACTGTCTAGGCCAGAAATTTTCTTCTTTGTAAAATTTTAAAACTATGAATCCAACATCCTTAATATATGTGGAAGTACTCAGGTTACCTATATCTCCTTGTTTTTAGTTTTTTGTCTGCAGGTTCTGTAGGTGATATAGCTCTCTTATTCCAAGTATAGGTAATTCCTGTTCCTGGAGTAGGCTGGCTAGAGGTTTATACATTTTATTGATTTTTTTCAACGAACCATCATTTGGTTTCAATTATATTATTGATGTTTTATTTTCAGTTATGTTTTTTATTTCCATCTTTCTCTTCTTGATTGATTTTGCTGGTTTCATAAACTAGAAGTTTACATGATTTTTCTTTTCTAATATTTGCATTTGATGCTATAAGTATCACTCTAAGAACTATTTTAGCTGCATCCCATAAATTTTACATGCCGTAAGTCCCCAATTTACAAACATTCAAGTTGCAAATTTTCACAGGTATACTGTATAAGACTCACTTTGTTGGCTTACAAATGAATCCGACTTACAAACAATTCTCCTGGAATGGAACTTGTTCATAAGACAGGAATTTACTGTGTTTCCATTTTCATGTATTTCAAAATACTATCAATTTCCCTTGAGACTTATTTTTTGATTCATGGATTATTTGGGGGGGACCGTTTTGTAGATTAATTCCATTATGGACCAAGAACATACTAAATATGGTTTCAATTCTTTTAAATTCAGTAAAGATTTATTTTTATTACCAAGTATGTGGTCTATCTTGGTGAATATTTCAAAGCACTTGAGAAGAATGTGTATTCCTTTGTTGTTGACTGGAGTATTCTATAAACATTAATTAGATTAAGTTGGTTGATGGTGTTATTCAAGTGTGTTCTATATCTTTGTTGATTTTTTTGTTTTTGGTCTACTCCTAACAATTAGAGAAAAGAGTAGTCCTAACATCTGCAACCATAATTTTAGGTTAATTTGTTTTTCCTTTCAGGCCTCTTACTTTTTTTCATATATTCTAAAATTCTTTTGTTAATTAAATATATACACTTTTAGGACTGTTATGTTATCTCGGTGATAATAATTTTTTTTGATTTGAACTCTACTTTGTTGGATATGTATATGCCACTCTAGTATTCTTTTGATTAGTGGTTACCTGATACATCTTCTTCTATCCTTTTACATTTAACCCATCCATACATTTTAAATGAATTTCTTGAAGACCATATATAAGACTTTTACTGTTAAAAATCCGGTCTCACAATCCCAGTCTTATTTGGTGCAAAAGTAATTTTGACATGACTAATTTTAACATACTATTTTAATATGGTTTTCTGTCTCTTTTTTTAACTTGTTTCTCTTTTTCAGATTTCTTTTAAGTTACTTGAATATTTTCAAATTTTAATTTATCTATTAGCTTTCTTACTGTCTCAATAGTATTTTAGAAGTCACTCTAAAGATTATGTTTAAATATTTAAGTTTTCTACTTTCTACTGAGAATATTTTTGCCACTCAAAGTGAAATGTAGAACTTTGTAATAATATAGGTCCCTTTAACTTCCTCCTTCATACTGTAGTTTTCACATGTAATATACCAACATACCATGCCAGAAAATGTTGTGTCTTTTTCAATTGTCATAGATATTACTAAAATCCTCACAGGAGAAAACCCATTATATTTATCCAAATAATTACTATTTTGGTGGTGCTTTGATCATTTTTGAGATTCCAAATTTCCTTTTGATCAGACTATAGAATCTATAGACTCTATAAAGGTATAGAGTCTATAGAATTACTATAATTTGATAATGTAAAACCGAGGTGGAAGTCATACTATATTAAAAAATAATGGCAGTCTGGAGGTGTAGCTCAGAGAAACAGTACCTGTTTAGCACGTGCAAGGCCCTGGGTTCAATCTTCAGTAACACACACACACATTCTAGAAAAATGATTCTGAAGAAATGAGGTTCTATTTATAGCTATTGCCACTACCTTTTCTGTGTCTTTGTTTCTTCACCTACAAAATAAATGATATAAGTCTAGTACTGTTTAAGCTTCTTTTCAGCACTAAGTATGCATTACTTACTCTTTCAATTTGTTTTTCCATTTCTTTATGCTGTTCAAGATGAATTTTCTTTGCTTTCTCAAAAGCTAAACAAATTTTCTCATGTTCTGTATTTATATTGGTTTCTAGACTCCTTATCTTTTCATTCTTTTCCTACAAATACAAGGCACTTTAGCAGAATATAGTTAAAAGCCAGTTTTCAAAAACATCAGTCACTTATATCTGTCATACTCTATTCTTCAAAGAACTCCAGTAGTTAATACTTTAAAATGAGATTAAACTATTTTAAAACATTAAGACATATAAAGAACTACCATTCCTTCAATTTTATTAAGATTTAAAAAACAACAAAACTTGGATAAAAATTTGAAATATTAGTCTATTAACTTAAAAATATAAAAACAAAAGAAAAAGATCAGAAGAGCTTAAAATTTAATTTTCTTATTTGGTGTATTTTATAATTATAGAAAAACAAGTACGCTACAAGCTAAGTGCCTAAATGTGACAGTAAATTTACAGGTGAAAGAGTGAATTTTACCATAAGCTCCTGTTCAAGTTCTGCATTTTTTGCAGCAACAGAGGAATAAGCAACTATTTTATCTTCCAGCTGTTTCTCTAGTGTTAAAAGTTGAGAACATTTCTTTGTCATCTAAAACACATTGAAATAAATACAAAATTAGTTTTAAAAAGTAACGACTTTCCATCCTAACATCAAATACTTGTTCTTCTTTTCCATTATTAAATTCCAATCCCTTAAGTCTTTTCCTTAGCCTTGGCTATAGACTTTGAGATATGAAAACAGACATTTTTAAATGCCCCTATAGATGACTGCAGCCTCTGGTATGATAGTTTAGTATAACACATACACATGTAGTCCTGATCCACAATTACATATTGAGGCATCCTTTTCCTGTCCTCAGTGAAAATGAACATCAGATATTCATAAAACATATATTATCCCCTTTTCAGATACACAGCATATCTGTATAGATTCACATACAGTTACTTAAAATTGATTCCTAAGCCGTCTCCCAGAACTACTGAATTAAAATTGCTAGAATAGGACCTGGAAATCTGGCAGGCTTTATAGGTGGCTCTGATGTTTGATAAAATTTAAAATCCTCTATTGCCTCTCTTTTTCTTCCAACTACATAATACAAATTCTTGTAAAATATGTATTAACCATATTAATTTACAGTATGGAAGAAATACTGAAACACAGTATTAGTTTCACCCAGTTTGAAGCCTTTTAGCCATTAAGGAATATGTGGCTTTTTTTTTTTTTTTTTTGGTACCGGGGATCAAACTTGGGACCTTATGCTTGCAAGGCAGGTGGTGGAACCACTGAGCTAAATCCCCGGCCCCAATATGTGGCTATTTTAAAAAACTAAAACAGAAGAACTCCCAAACAGAATTTTTAAAAGAATTTATAATTTATCTGGTACCATTTTACAAAAAAGAAACTTATAAATCTAGGCTTAAATTGTTAAAAACCTCACAACAATATCTTTTCCTATCAAAATTTAACACATATACCCAGCTAATTACAAGCTTACTTCACTCTCTAGTTTACTAGAGTTCGAAGCTTTCTCTAGCAGCTCCTCTTGAATCAACTGAAACTGACTAGTTCTGTGAGCCATGTTAACCTTCAAATCAGAATTCTCAGCTTCTATTTGCATCAGCTTAGTACGCAGTTCCTCTATTCCAGTAGCAAGTTTTTGCTTTTCTCTTTCATACTGCTTGTTCACAGTATGTTGACTTCGATCTTTTATTCTCTCGGCTAATACACACAAAAAGAAAACCATTCTGAACTAAATTTCAAGAATAAAAATCTGTTAAAACACAAGACTTAATCATAAACAAAGTTTAGTTTCTGATTTAAAAAATACCTAAAAGGGATTCAGCATGAGACATACAATAAGGAAAACATGTAAGGAATATGGCAAGTAAATCAGTTTTGTTTTGGTGGTACTGGGGCTTGAACTTGCAATTCTCCTGCCTCAGCCACTCAGACTGCTGAGATTACAGGTGTGCATCATTGAGCCTGGCTCCAAGTAAAGCACTTTCTAAATTAAATACACAAGGAGGGGGAAAGTTCTTCTGAATCATTCACTTTTCTAGATAACCAAAAATTATTATTCTTTGTGTCAGAAGTTTAAAAATGTTTCCTACTTTTAAGATCCTATTTTTTCAATAAAAATCACTGTAAAGAAACTTTTTAAGTTGCCCTGTTTTCTTAATTTATCATTAATTATAAAATTTATTTGGACAATTTGAGATCATTAAGACTATTTTTATATACTGTATGTAGCACGTTCAAAGGTGCAGACAGTGTATCCTTCCTAGTCATATCTTTCTCCTCTAAAATTTAGCAGATGAAAATACTGATGTTTTCAAAAACTACAGAGGGTTTTCAGAGGGAGTTGCTTTGCTATGTCCTTCCTCCATTAGAAGCATGTATATCTATAGGGAAAGGGTAATGCAAGCTGCCAGACACCCCTGCAGTGGTCCTAGCCTCCTGCAAGCCAGTACGATGTCTGTGAGATAGGAAAGTTGGAATTAAAAGAAACACAGAGGCAGAGGAGACTTGAGAGAAACTGAGTCTTGGGCTGATCTAACCTGAGCAGCAAAGACAAAAGACTCTGAGGACATCCAGTGTAAGTGTGGGAAGGGGGAAAAGCTGGGCAGGCCTTGGGACACCTGCTGATAACAAGTATCAAGTAGGCAGGACGGCAGAATGAGGACACAAGCATATCTTTGTAGAAGAGAACAAACAGTTAATTCAGAGGGGAAGAATTTAGCTGGAGTCAGTTGACTTTTACTGGGAGTGAACTCAGCCAAGCTCTGCTACTTCCAATGTAACACAGTCAAATTATGGAGGTGCAAGAAGCTTGTGCCACCATAGCCTGCTAATACTGGATGAAGGTGTCTGCTACATGTATCTACTCTATAGTAATTGAGCTTTAAGGAGTGCTTTAATTAAACAGAAATGATATAGATGATTACATAAGAACACACATATGAAAACAAGGAGAGATGCACATTGCCTTCAAGGGCTGGATGAGCAGCCATTTTCCATCAATTTCTCCAGGTATACAATATTTCATTTTCTAGGCTACCTGTATGTCATTGGCAATATTCTTCTTTGATATCAGAAGACCTATGATAATTTATATTTAACACCACCTCTAATAATTAACATTTCCTTCAATCATGTCATTGTTGTCATAGTTACTTTTTTTTGCTGCTGAAACAAAGTACCCAACACCTAAAGTTAAAGGAAGAAAGGTTTATTTCAGCTCACAGTTTGTAGAGGTTTCAGTCCACAGTTGGCTGTCTCCAAGGCAAGGCAGCATGGCAGAGGGGGATGCCTGAGGAGAAACAGTCCATGGCAGGGCAGACAGGAGGTAGCAAGCACCAAGTCTACATTCATTCTTTCTCCCCTGTTCCATCAAGTCCAGGACCCTATTGATTGGTGCCACCCACAACCAGGGTGGGGCTTCCATTATCCAAACCCAGATCTATGCTAAATCCATTTAGTTACATAAACCCTTAATCCCAGTATCATACACCTTAGATCCAGCCACCTCTTAAAAGCCCCACTTGAGACCCCAGCAAGAAGCTTGCATGGACAATAGTGGCACAGGTGCCTAGGTCTCAGCCAGGGGTCCATCCAAATACCAGCAGATGGGATGCACAGGCCCCAGCAAAAGGCCCATCTGGAAAGCAGCTGCACAGGCATACAGGCCACAACCAGGGCCCCGACCAGACACCAGCTGCTTGGGTGTCCAGGCCCCAGACAAAGGCCCAGTTGGAAAACAGATGCACAGATGTACAGGCCACAGCCAGAGGCCTGCCCAGATACCATTGGTAAGTATGCACAGACCCCAGCCAGAAGCCTGCATGGAAAACAGTGGCACAGGTGCCCATGTCCCAGCCAGAGTCCCACCCAGACACCAGGGGTTTAGGCACACAGCCCCCAGACAAAGGCCCTCCCAGACAACAGTTATGCAGGTGGGCAAGCCCCAGCCAGAGACACACGCAGAAACCATACTGTGTACGCAGGCCCTAGCCAGAAACCCTCCTGGACAACAGCACAGTGCAGGGATCCAGAAGATCATCATTCTGAAACCAGGAATTGGCGCAGTGCTGAGCAGCAGAGAGATGGACTCTCTGAGGCTTGCTCAGAAATGAAGCCCACTGGGCAAGCAAAGAGATGCCTCAACAAAGGTGCAGCAGGCTTCATCTGTTGAACTGAAAAGACACATAAACAAGTCTCAAAACCAGACTTCCAGATCACCTAAGGCAACCTCAAGGGGCAACGAGATGGAACAATCTCATACTCAACCACCTGGACTCCCTGAACTGGCAATGAAAGAGGATCTGGAAAAAATAAAATAAGAAATAATTTCTCAGATAACAACAGAGATTGTGTCCATAGTGAAAGACATGATGAATAACTCTAGAGCAGACACAGGTAAAAAAAAAAAAATAGAGGAGCTGAGGAACATGATTGAATTCCAGCATAGGAAATGAATGGAATTCATAAAATAGATGTAAACAGATTTTCAGGAGATTAAAAGCTCCACTGAAAGTTTACACAGCAGAATGAGCCAATGTGAGGACAGAATATCAGATATAGAAGACAGGATTGCAATTAGTGACCAGGAAATGAAAAATTTCTTAAAAATAGTAAGGGGCAAGGAAAAATCAATCCAGCAGATGCTGGATGAGGCAAAGAAGAATAACATAAGACTGATCAGAATCAATGAAGAAACAGGAGAGAGTGCAGATGACATAAAAAAACTGTTCACAGAGGTAATGGCAAAAAACTTCCCAAGCAGGGGAAAAGAATTTGACATACAGGTAAGTGAGGTATATAGGACTAGCTGTGACAAAAAAATATATACACCTAGGAATATAATAATTAAGATCCCAGAAACCCAACAAAAGAACAAAATACTACAAGCAGTTAGAGAAAAGAAACGAATCACATACAAGGGAAAGCCCATCAGAATCAAAGCAGTCTTCTCAACACAAACACTCAAGTCAAGAAGAGCCTGGAGTGAAGTATTTTAAGCCCTAAAAGAAAATGACCTCCAACCCACATTGATGTACCCTGTAAAACTACCTTTCAAAATCAATGGAGAAATAAGATACTTTCATGACAAAGAGCACCTGAGGAACTTCGTGAATACCAAACCAGCACTCCAAAAAAATTTTAAACAATATCCTAGGAAAAGATAATGAGGATCACAACCCCAGGAAGCCCAGCACAGTTAATCCATCAGACAAGACAAGAAATTAAATGCAAAGGGGAAGAATCCAACAACAGGAAAAGGTTATGACAAAAATAATACATATCAGTTATAACCATCAAGGTTAATGGTATCAATTCACCAATCAAAATTAATAGACTGGCAGAATGGATCAAGAAGCAAGATCCAACAATATGCTGCATCCTAGAAACACCTAATTCAAAAGAAACTCATAGACTGAAAGTTAAAGGGTGGAAAACAATATTCCATGTGAAAAGAACCCCCCAAAAAGAAGGAATAGCTATCCCCTTTGCAGATAAAATTGATTTCAAACCAACACTAATTAAGAGAGACAAGGAAGGCCACTACATCTCTGTAAAAGGAATAATCCAAGAGGAAGGGATGACAATCATAAATATATATGGACCAAATACTAGTGCACTCAACTACATAAAACAAATATTAATGGACATGAAAAATCAAATAAGCACTAATAGAATAGTAGTGGGGGATTTCAATACCCCACTCTCACAAATAGATAGATCAACTAGACAAAAAATAAACAATGAAATACTAGAACTCAACCAAACTCTTGACAAATGGACTTAACAGATGTTTACAGAGTGTTCTACCCCACAAAATCAGAATACACATTCTTTTCAGCTGCACACAGGTCATTTTCCAAAATAGACCACATACTTGCTCATAGAACATGTTTAAGTAAGTGCAAAGGAATTGAAGTTATCCCCTGTATATTATTAGACCATAGTGTGATGAAATTAGAAATCAACAGCAAAAAAAGAAACCAGAAGAATTTCATAAACACATGGAAATTGAACAACACACTTCTGAACAATTAATGGGCCATAGAAGAAATTAAAGAAGAAATCAGTTTCTAAAATTAAATGATAATGCCAATACAACATAATGGAATCTATGGGACACAATGAAAGCAATCTTATGAGGGAAATTCATAGCAGTGAATACTCATATTAGGAAAGCAGAGCGAGTACAATTAAACAAGCTAATGCTGAACATCAAGCTTCAAGAAAAAGAAAAATAGACCGAGGATAAAAACCATACGATCATCTCAATAGATGCAGAAAAAGCATTTGACAAAATCCAACATCCATTCATGATAAAAACCCTACAAAAAAAATTGGAATAGACAGTCTCTACCTCAACCTGATAAAAGCCATCTATGAAAAACCAACAGCTAAATGGTCAATAACTGAAATCCTTCATGCTAAAATCAGAAACAAGACAAGGATGTCCACTATCACCACTCTTATTCAATATAGTTTTGGAAACATTAGCCACAGCAATTAGACAAGAGAAAAAAAATAAAAGAAATAGACAGGAAACTAAGAAGTTAAATTGTCATTATTTGCAGATGACATGATACTCTATATAGAATATTCCAAGAACTCCACCAAAAGTCTTCTAGACTTAATAAGGAAATTCAGTAGAGTAGCTGGATACAAGGTCAACACACAAAAATCAATAGCCTTCCTGTACACGAATAACAGACTCACTGAGAGAGGAACTGGGGAAAGAACTCCTTTCACAATAGCATCCAAAAAAATGAAATACCTAAGAATCAACCTAATAAAAGAAATCAAAGACCTCTACTCTGAAAACTATAGCACTCTGAAAAAAGAGATCAAAGAGGATATCAGAAAATGGAAAGATATCTCTTGCTCCTGGGTAGGAAGAACCAACATAGTGAAAATGGCCATACTTCCAAAACTACTATATAGATCCAATGCAATCCCCATTGAAATTCCAACAACATATTTCACAGAACTTGAGAAAACAATCCAAAAATTCATTTGGAATAAGAAGAGACCTAGAGTAGCAAAAGCAATTCTAGGCAACAAAGACAGTGTAGGGGGTATCACAATCTCCAACTTGAAACTACACTACAAAGCTACTGTGATAAAAACAGCATAGTACAGGGCTGGGGATTTAGCTCAGTGGTTCCGCCACCTGCCTCACAAGCACAAGATCCCGAGTTCGATCCCCAGTACCAAAAAAACCCAACCAACCAAACAAAAAAACAACAGCATGGTACTGGCAAAGAAAGAGACCCAAGGATCAGTGGAACAGATTAGAAGATGCAGAAACAACTCCAGACACACTCAGCTACTTTATCTTTGACAAAGGAGCCAAACACCCTTACTGGAGGAAAGATAGCCTCTTTCATAAATGGTGCTGGAAAACTTGGGTTTTAACTTGCCAAAGATTAAAACTAGACCTATATCTCTCACCAGGTACTAAACTAAAATCAAAATGGATTAAAGATATAAATATTAAAACAGAAACGGGCTGGGGATTTAGCTCAGTGTCACCACACTTGCCTCCCAAACACGAGGTTTTGAGTTCGATCCCCAGTACCAAAACAAAACAAACAAAACAAAACAAAAAACCCAGAAACAATAAACTGGCTGAAAGAGAGGTGAGGTAGAACTCTTGAAGACTTTGGGATAGGAAAAGATTTCATGAACAAAACCTCACTTGCACATGAACTAGCATAAACAATCAACAAGTGGGATCTCATCTTATTAAAAAGCTTCTGCCCTGCAAGAGAAACCACTAACAGCGTGAAGAGACAACCCACAATATGGGAAAAAATTTTCACCAGCTGTTCCTCAGGCAAAGATCTACTATCTCTAGAATATATAAAGAACTTTACAAAATCAGACCTCCTAAATTTAAAGACCCAATACAATAATGGGCATCTGAAATGAGCAGATATTTCTCAAAGTAGAAATAGCAAATAGATGTATGAAAAAATGTTCAGCGTCACTGGTCATTCTAGAGATGCAAATGAAAACAAAGCTGAGATTCCACCTCACCCCACAAAGAATGGCTATCAAGAAATCAATAACAAATGCTGGTGGGGCTGTGGGGAAAAAATGAACCCTTCTCCACTGTTGATGGGACTGTAGACTGGTGCAATCACTGTGGAAATCAGTATGGAGATAACTCAAAAAACTAGGATTAGAGGTCCATTTGACTCAGCTATTCCCCTGCTGGGTATCTTCCCAAAAGAATTAAAAGAATCATAACACAGTATATATGTGCACCCATGTTCACAGCAGCACAGTTTGTAATAGTTAAAATTTGGAAACAGCCCAACTGCCCATCAACTGGAGACTGGATGTGGTTTCTTTTTTTAATAAAATGGAATACTACTCTGCCATAAAGAATGAGAAACTAGAGACATTTAGAGCTAAATGGATGCACACTGAGGCCATACTCTTAAGTGAAATAAATAGGACACACATGTGTAAATATCAAATAGTTTCTCTGGTGTGAGAAATTGAAAGTGTAAATAAGGATCAAAATGTATAACAGATAATGTGAAATATGAAGAAAAGGTTCAAAGGGGAAGGGGAAATGGGAGGGGTAGTGGATAGAAAAGAAGGGAAAGGAATAAATATGAGAAAAGGCAAAAACAGAAACAAAGTCTTTATAAATAGGGAGAGGTGGAGGGGTTGAAGGGAAGGAAGGGGACTGGGGAAAAAAATAAGAACCAAGATATATTATGTAAAGGTACAAATTTCCAGTGATGAATGTCAGCATATCATATACCTAAAATGTACCAATGAAATTAATGAATTAACAAAAAAGCCCCACCTATGAGTGCATGAGGTTTCGTGGGGACATCTAGATACAAGCCATAACAGTTCTCTTCCCTATTTTCTTTAATAACTTAGACATCTGATTTTCTGTTATTTCTGCTACTAACAGACTGTTGTCTTTAAAGATAGAATGTTAAAGCTAAAGATGAATTTGTTAACTTCTTAAGGCAACCACTAAAAGAAGGAAAACAAAGAGCTATAATTAACAGATGACTTAATACTAATAGAGATAAGAAATGAAATGGTAACATATATTTGGTTCAAAAGAAGGCAAGAAAGATGAACAAAATTAAATAAATAGGTGTTACTGTTTAGCTCTAAATTGTTCTCATGTATTCAGAGGATGTCCTTCTGATAGGTGATTAGGTCATAAAGGTCTAACTTCATCAGTCAATTGATCCACTGATGAGATCATAACTTGATGCCATTATTGGGAAGTGACAGAAACGGAAGGTAGGGTCTAGTTGCAGGGAGTGGATCACAGAGGTGTGACCTTCAGGATTATTTCTGGTATTCAGCCCCTTCCTCTCTGGCTCTTTTCTTTTCTTTATGCTTCTTGGCTGCCATGAGTTGAGTAACTTTCCTCTGCCACACCTTTCTGCCATGCTTCTGCCTTGCCACATGCCTAAAAGCAATGGTGCCAGCTGACAATGGACTGAAACATCTGAAATCATTAGGCAAAATAAACTTTCTCTCCTTTAAGTTGATTTATGTGAGATACTTTAAAAGGACCAAAAGTTTAATAACATAACTGTAAAAAAACAAAAACCAAAGATGGTAAGCTAAACTTAAAAATATCAATAGTTGCATTAAATACAAGTGATCTGAACATCTAATAAAATTCTAATTAAAAAGCAAAAACTGTGATTAAAAATAAAAGCAAGATCTAATTACATGTTTTCCATAATAAATTCACTTTATATACAAAGATAAAGGTTCACAGCTGGGCATGGTGGGCCATTCTTGTAATCTCAAGACTCAGGCTAAAGCAGGAGGATCACCAGAGTTCAAGGCCAGCCTGGGATACAGAGTGAGTCCAAGGCCATCCTGAACTACACAGTGAGATCCTCTCTCAAAAAACAAAACAAAAAACAAAAATAAAAATAAAAAAAACACCAAAGATAAAGGTTCCAAGTATGGGATAAAAATTACACCAGACAAACATTAATCAGAAAAAGCTGGAAAGTGCAATAGGATTAATTTCAAACAAAGTAGTTTTCAAATAAGGATTATTACCAGGGACTAAAGGGACATTTAGTATGATAAAAGGATGTATTCAATAAGAAGATATAGTAAACTTAAATGATTAGGTATATAATATCCTCAAAATATAAGAAGCAAAGACTGACAGAACTAAAAGGATAAGCACAAATATATCTGAAAATTCTGATACTACTCTGTCAGTAATTGGTAGAACAAATACACAGAAAATCATTAGGGATAAAGAAGGCTTAAACAATAGTATCAACCTGACACTGCTGATATTAAGACAAAATACCCAACAAATGCAAAAGATATGATCTTTTTGTTCAAGTGCCCTTGGAACATTCAACAAGATGAACCAAATGCTGTCCAATAAACCAAGTTTCAAAATACTTTTAAAATACAAAATCAAGGCTGGAGGTATACTTCAGTGATAGCATCAGTGCTTAGCATGCAGAAAGCCCTCAGTTCAAGACCCAGCAGCCAGAAAAACAATAAAACCATATAAAACATGCCCTCTGAACACCACTAATGATTGCAAAAATGTGGAAAATCTCCCAATATTTGGAAATAAAGCACACATAGCCTAAGAGTTAAGGAATTAGTTATAAGAGATATTATATTTTGAACTGAATGAAAATGAAAATACAACACATAAAAATTAGTGAGATACAGCCAGAGTACTGTTTAAAGGTAAATTTACCCTTATATATTTACATCAGAAGAGAGGTTTAAAAAATTAACAATCTAAACTTATATTTTAAGAGAAATTAAAAAAGAAGAAAAATTTAAACCTAAACTGAAAAGGAGTACAAAGGATCCTGATGGAAATGCTGTATGTCTTGATTGTGTTGATACTGTATAACAGTATAAATACATTAAAAAGCAAACATGTGACAAAATTTACCAAATTGTATATTTAAAATAGGTGCATAAGTACTAGTAATAACAGATTATCGTATATGTTTGACAATAGAAAAACAGTTGCTAATTTGTTCCTTAAAAATACTATCACCAAGAGCAATGGAACATTTATTAAAATAATTCAATATAAGATACTCACCTATTTGATTACCACCTAGTTTTACGGGTTCTGTTTCAAACATATTTAATTTGCCACTTTCCTGGCTATCTTTAGAAGAAGTAAGATTCTGAGATAACTGATTTGCAGTCAGATTTGCATGAAGTTTCTGAATTTCTGCCTCTTTTATTGCAAGCTTAATCCTGCACAAAAGAAAAGTAGCCCAAAATTATTAGGAAAATTCTATAAGAACAGACTGTTTCACATTCTGAATTGGTAAAAACTTAAAAATTTTGATATTCTTCAACTCTTTGGATAAAGAAACTCTCATATACCATTAGTAGGATTATAAATTGACCAATTACTTTCCAAACTTAAAAACTAGTAAACCTGAAAACATAGACATTCCACAACTGAGCAATTTCACTTTTTGAAATATAGGGCCAGGGATGTAGCTCAGTGGCGCTGCACCTGCCTGGCAAGTGCAAGGTCCTGAGTTTGATCCTCGGTAATGGAAAAAAAAAAAAGAATCAACTTTTAGAAATATATATAAGAAAAACTCTCACATGTATGTACAAGGAACCTTACATGAGGATTTTTTTGCAGCTCTGTTTATAATTTTAAAAAACTAGAAACAATGTACTACCAATAAAAAATGGATAAATTAGTTCTGACAGAGTTCTAGGAAAGAATCTATTTTACTGTATAAATCTCAATTCCTATGCAGCTATTATAAAACTAACCTAGTCACATAAATCCATCCATTGATCAATCACTGTATTTATCTCAACATGGAGAGACTTTGAAAATTATGTTAACAAGGACTAGCGCACAGGCCTGTAATCTCAGCACTCAAAAGATTAAAGAAAGAGGATCTCAAATTCAAGGCCAGCCTGAGCTAGTAGTGAATTCAAGGCCAGCCCGTTTCAAAATAAAAACAAAACAAAACAACAACAACAACAACAAAATGATGCTGAGTGGAAAAACAAAATTACAAACACTACAAACATATAGTACATTTAATATTAGTGTGTGTGAATACAAACATGCAGTATGGATAGAAAAATACACATCCAATTCATAATGGTGGATATTTAGGGAAAGAATGGAACTAGCAGTAAAGATCAAAAGATGTTATCCACTTTGTAATGTTTTATTTTTTTATTTAGAGAAATATTTGAAACAACGATCACAAAATATTAAGAAGAATCAATTCTTAGTTGTACAATCAAATGTTATAATATTCTCTGGGCTTTTTTATATTTTTCATTTTTTCAAATAAGCACCTTAATTTAATTACCAACAAAAAAAATTTTATTTGCTATAACTTCAAAATCTGAAAAGTATACCTTAATTCTGAAATCATCAATTTATTTGCCTCACAGCAGCCAACACAACTCTCTTCCTTGCTTGACAAACTATTCATCTGGTGCTTAGACTGAGATGATTTAAAACCAAGTATTTCTCTTTTTAACTGTAAATTTAAAAACAAACATTTGCACATTTGTAATATGAATGTGGGATGTAGCTGTTCCTTATTTAAAACTCAGAGTGAAAAATTATATCAATTTAATGGAAACAGCGTAATGTCCATCAATAGGAGAATGTATCAAATATTAATAGGAAAACTATAATAGCTAAAATAAGTAAACTCAAGTTATTCATAATATTGAGTGAAAAAAACAAATTACAGTGGTATACATAATATTTTCAAAAATGCGTTAAGCAATGTATGTATTTCTAGATGCATTTATATGTGGCAATATTTAAAGCATGGATGAGAAAGATACACATGAATTTCAGAATAGCTGTTGCTTTCAAGAAGGAAAATGGATCGGACAAACTACATAAAGAGGATTTACCTGTAAAATTAATTCTAAAAATATCTCAAGTTGATATAGCAACATGTGTCCTATATTTTACAAATGGCTAAGCTGCATTTGTCTCTGTACTTTTCTTCATGAATGAAAAGTACCGAATCTTTAAAAATACTTATGAAAATGAGCTAAATATATTCTTAATGACTACCAGCTTCAAACTATAACCAAATCATACTTTTTAGAAATGAAAAAAATTCACATTTCCAAACCACACCAATGTAAGCACTTCATGAATCAGAATCAAGTATATATATTGCAATACACCTTCAGAATCATGTATCAAATAATTGTTGTCACTGAGCACAAGAGAATTTCAATTTAAAATTAATGCAATTATTAATTTCAATTTCAAAAGAAAACATAATATATTAAAAATCTTAGCAAAATTTCAGCATCCTAGATATAGCAGATGGTTGGGAGCCAAGAATCAGCTGTTCCTTGCAAAATTCTGCAACTTGCTAGACTATTTACTTCTTTGTATTTCTTTGCTGATAAAATGATGATATTGAATTAGATGATTTCTACGATTCTCTTCAGCTTCATAATTCCTTGGTTCATAGCAGTTTAAAACTGGTATGAATCTACCACCCAGTCCAACCTATATTCATAAATACAAGCAACCATAACATATTTATCTATAATTATCATATTTATCTAGTTCTAGTTTTCTATTTTTAATCTTTATTTCATACTTATCAATGATAAGTTCTTGAAACAGCTATATGCATTCTCTTCCTAATCTTACTTATACAGTGATATATACACAGTGATATATATATACGTAATATATACAGTAGTACCTCAGTTCACAAACTTAATTCTCTTTGTAATTCTGGTCGCAAACTGAATTGTACAAAAACCAAATCAAATTTCCCCATAAGGTAAACATTGAACCTAACCACTGGATTTTATTTAGTTCTCATCTAGTTCAGTTTGTGATCAGAATTGTGGAAAGAATTAAGTTCATGAACTGAGGTACCACCATATACATATATTCATATACAAAGAGAAAAGGTAGCAGGTCATTACCACAAAAACATTTCAAAGTTCTATGACATTCTATTCATTCATTCATTCATTCATTCATTTCCTTATTTTGTAGTGCTAGGGAATGAACAGAGGGCCTTGTGCATGCTGAGTAAATGTTTCACCAACAAGATACAGGTCCAGGCTAGTTCTATGTCATTCTATAAGCACATGTAAAGTTGCTTAACATTAGTCATCAAAGAAATGGAAATTAAAACTACAGTGTGAGTACCATATCACACTCACTAGATGGTATAGATAAAAAGACAGACAATATGTGTTAATAAGGGTGTGGAGGGAAATGTCCATACATTACTGCTTGAGAATGTAAAAGGCTGTGCCCATTTAGGAAAACAGTTTAGCATGAATTTACCATATGATCCAGTATTCTCCTAGATATCTACCCAAGAGAAATAAAAACATGTCCACACAAAGACTTCAGCGCAAATACTCACAAAAGCCTTATTCATAAGAGCATAAAAGTGAGACTAATACAAATGTCCATCAACTGGTGATTAAATAAATGAAATATGGTATATTCACACAATGGAATACTATGGAGCAATAAAAAATGAAATACTGATAAATGAATGACTCTCAAAGATATTAAAATGTGAAATGACACATACAAAAGATCACTATGACTTCATTCAAATGAAATATTCCGAAAAGATAAATCTAGAAGCAGAAACTATTAATGTTTGCCCAAGTGTATGATTGTTGGTATGGAGGCACTGATTATAAAGTGGCACAAGTGATCTTTTGGGGATGACAGAAAGGTTTGAAACTGTATTGTGGTGAGTAATACAAAATTTGTAAATTTGCTAAAACTCAATGAATACTTTCAAAGGATGATACAGTATGCAAATTATAAGTCTATAATGTTGTTTTTCAAAAATTTCTGTGCCACTTCTAGATATGGCTTCTGAGAAACTAAGAAAGGATATAAGAATAGAAAGGTTGAAGCCAGGCATGGTAGCACACGCCTATAATCCCAGCACTCGGAAGGCTGAGACAGGAGGAGTTCTGTGAGTTCCAGGGCTGGGATACATAGTGAGTTTAAGGCCAGTTTAAACTGTATAGTAAGACCCTGTCTAAAAAAAAAAAAAAAAAAAAGGAATAGAGAAGTTAAATGGGAAAAATACAGGGATTAGGTAGAAAAGTAATAGGTGACTGAAAGTACAATTAGAAAAAAAACTGAAGCTAATAAAGAAACCAAACAATGATAGTCTTTCATAAAACACATCAATGAAATCTTTCTTTTCCATTATGTAATCAAGTACAGCACAGTTCTTTTCATATATGCTTACCGGTAACTGGGATATTATTTTTTCAAAACTTCTCAGTTCTATCCTTGAGTTTTCAATTTCCTGCTGACACAAATCCAGTTGTTCATTCTGTGTTGCAACTTGGACCTTCAATTCTCGATTTTCATTCATTAGAGAAAATTTCTCTCTCAGTATTTCATCTTTGTCCTCTAATTTACTTTCTAATTTCAGAATAATTTGCCTAGATTCAGTCAATTGTGCCATGACTTCTGAATTTCTCACTGCCATAATCCTTAATTTTTCTTTTCCATTGTTATGTTCTTCTTTTAATTGTCTACAAGGAAACAATTAAAAATAAAATATGTATTCATTTTCAATAATCACATTTAGATAGAGTCATATCTTGGTACTTGATTGATTTGAAATTAATTGAATTTGGTACTTGATGCATTTTGACATGAAAATTTTATCCCAGTATTTTTCCTTTGTTTGGTGCTCAGTGAATAAGCTAGAACTTGTCAATGTCTACTGTCTTGTGACTCACTAACCTTTCCAGCCAAAATAATTTCTCTTGGCTGTTTGGTTATTTCTGATACTCATGCCTCCCAGAATCAATAAAGGACAAATATTGAGATACCTCTGTACTATCATTTAAAAAATTTTCTGAAACAAGGGGCCTCAGGATTTAGCTCAGTGTTGGAGCACTTGTCTACCATGTGCAAGGCCTTAGTTTAGTTCCCAGCACTGCAAAACATATTTTTGAAAGCTTAACAAGCAATGACACAAGAAAACTACAGTCAATATCCTTGATAAACATAGATGGAAAAATCCTCAACAAAATATAAGCAAACTCAATATAATGGTGTATTATTCACTATGCTCAAGTGGTATTCATCCTAGGGATGCAAGGGTAATTCAAAATACACAAATCAGTAAACAAGATATACCACATCAACAGAATGAAGAACAAAACCATATGATCATCTCAAAAGATGAAGAAAAGGGATCTGATAAAATTGACATTCCTTCATGATAAAAACACTGGCTTATAAGGAACATACTTTAACACAATCGAGGCTACAGTATATAATAAGCCAACAGTTAACATTACACTTAATAAAGAAAAGCTGAAAGCCTTCTCTGTAAGATTTGAACCAAAAAAAGGATGTTTTCTGTTACCACTTTTATTCAACACGATACCAGAAGTCCTAGCCAGAGCAATCAAGGCAAGGGAAAGAAAGAGCATCTAAGTTGGAAAAGAGCTAGTTGAACTGTCACTGCAGACAACAGGATCACATATATACAGAAAATCCAAAGACTCTACCAAAAAACAGACTTACTGAATTTGGCAAAGTTGCAGGATACAAAATCAATGTACAAAAACAAATAGCATTGTAATATGCCAATAGTGAACAATCTAAAATAGAAATCAAGAAACTAAGCCCACTTACAATAGTTCCCCCTCCCCAAAAAAAGAAATCTGCAAAATTCCTAGGAATAAATTTAAATAAAGGGAAAGCTCTCTATAATGAAATTCATGAAACACTGATAAAATAAATTTAACAGGATACAAAAAGAGAGAAAGAAAGAAAAGAAAGAAAGAAAGAAAGAAAGAGTGAGAGAGAAGGAAGGAGGGAGGGAATTCATGAAGAATCAATATTGTTAAAATGTCCATGCATTTAGCATCAACAGATTCAATGTTATCCCTATCAAAAAAAAATGCTAAAATTTGTATGGAATCACTAAAACCCCCAAATAACTAAAAGCAATATATTACTATTTTCTAAAAGCCAAACTAATCTTGAGAAAAAAGAAAGCAAGAAGCATTACACTATCTGATTTTAAGGTATACTACATAGCTACAGTAATCAAAACAGCATGTTATTGGCATAAAGACAGATACATAGTTCAGTGGAACAAAACAGAGAATCTAGAAGTAAAGGCACACATCAGCAGCCAACTGATTTTTGACAAAGTAGTTAAGGACAAGTACTGGAGGACAGGCAGTCTTTTCAATAAATGATGCTAAGAAAATAGGTATTTATATGTAAGTAAAAGAATGAAACTAGATTCCTCTCACCAGTCACAAAAGTCAACCCAATAGAGATTAAAGACTGAAATGTTAAGACCTGAAACAATAAAACTACTCGAAGAAAATACCAGGCAAATACTTCAGGATATTGGTATGGGAAAGAAATTTTTGGGGCAATATCTCAAAACCATAGGTAACAAAAGCAAAAATAGACAAATGAGATGACATCAAATTAGAAAGCTTCTATACAGCAAAGGAAACAATCATCAGAGCAAAGAGAGAAATTACAAAATGAGAGAAAATATTTGCAAAATACAGGTCTGACAGAGTTAATATCCAGAATATATAAAGAACTACAAAAATTCATCACCAAACTCGGCATGGTGGGGTACAGCTATAATTCCAGGATTTGGGAAACTGACAAGAAGATCAATGAGAGTTCAAGACCAGCCTGAGTTACATGGTGAGACTCCATCTTAAAAACAAAAAACCAAAAAACTTCATTACCAAAAAGAAAAAAAAAATTCCTGATTTAAAAAATGAAAACAAGGATTATGTATATAGGGAGAGGTGGAGGGGTTGAAGGGAGGGCAGGGGAATGAGGAAAGAAAAAAGAATCAAGATATATCATGTACAGGTACAAATTCTCAATGATGAATGTGATCATAAGTTATACCTAAAGTGTACCAATAAACTCAGTAAAAATAAAAAACTTTAAAAATCAGTTGTAGACTCTAATAGATATTCCTCCAAATAAGAAATACAAATGACTAAAAGGTATATGAAAAAATGCTCAACATAATAATAACTAGGGAAATGTAAAACAAAACCACAATGAGATATCACCTCACTCCACTAAGCATAGGTATTATCAAAAATATTAAAGATATTAAGTGCTGGAAAGAACATGGAAAAAAGAGAAGCCTTGCATACAGTTTTTTGAGACAGGGTCTCACTATGTAGTTGAGGCAGGCCTTGAATTCACTACGTAGCCTAAGCTAGCCTGGAACTTGTGGTGATCCTCAGCTTTCTGAGTGCGAGGATTACAAGCATGCACCACTATTCCTGGCAAACCTTGAATACTGTTGTAGGAAGGTAAAGTACCTAGTTCAGCCATTATGGAAAACAGTATGAAAGTTCCTCAAAAAAAATTTTTTTGTTTGTTTTTTTGTTTGTTTTTTTTTTTGGTACTGGGGATCGAATTCAGGTCCTTGCGCTTGCAGGGCAGGCGGCAGAACCACTGAGCTAAATCTCCGGCCTCTCAAAAAATTTTTTAAAAAATTAAAAGTAGAACTACTCTATGATATAGCAAACCTATTCCTGAGTATATATCCCACAGAAATGATTCAGTATGTCATCTGTACTCTTGTGTATACTACAGCACTACTCATAATTGCCAAGAAATGGAAACAACTGAAATATACATCAATTGATGAATAAAGAAAATGTGGTATACATACAAAACAGAATGTTACTCAGGCATAAAAACATAATAAAATCCTGTCATTTGTAACAAAATATATAAAATTGTAGAATGGGGAGAGTAGAAAAAGGGAAAGATGGAGAAAAGGTGATGAGTGTACTAAACTTTAGCTATAAAGGTACTAAATTATAGTTAGGAATAAGAGTTCTAGTATTTATAGGTACCCCTTAAATAGTGATTATGTATTGCATATCTCAAAAACCTAGAAGAAATTTTGAGTGTTTTTATCAAAAGAAATGACAAATGAGAAGACAGATATTTTATCCTAATTACACAATGTATACAAGTATCAAAACATCACATGGGATGCCACTAATAAGTATAATTTTGTTTTAATGTGTCACTTAACATTTTTAATTAAAAAAATTTGAAGCCTAATTCTGAATTAATACCTACTCATAATTACTGAATGTTCACTTACTGCATGCCAAGCATTCACAACTTCTTAGGGTGGACATTAGTATTACTTTTCATTTATAGATAAGAAAACTGAGGCACAGAATTGCCCAGTATCTTATATGACAGTCTTGGAAAAATTTCTGCTCCCTTTTAAAATGTAAGATAAAAAATCTAGATACCTGACCCAGCATTCTGTAGCATCAAGAAAGTTTTGTATAATACAGGAAAAAATCATGAACTCTATACAATTATAAAAGTTAAGTCTAATTTATCAGTAACAGATTATTAGGCAGCAATACTTCAAATACACATATTTACCTGTAAAAATATGTCAAACAGAACAATCTCATGTTTAGGACTTATTGCATTTTACCAGTTCACTTTTTCACATTTTTAACATCTTTGAAATTGGGATAATGAATAGTTCCTTATAAGAGCCATTAGCTAAGCAGAGTTGCAATATAGTTTCATTGCTTACATATATGTAAACATCAAAAGGAGAATGGGTATATGTAATTGAAGAGAAAAACCAGGAGATAATAGGGCACATCAAACTCACAGTAACAAAAGATTATAGGGAACAGTTTCGGGGGAAGGAAGGAGTGGGAGAGAAAGATCTCAAGACTTCTGACACAGGATTCTGAAGTAAACTGGCTCTACATAACTGCAAAGTCAACTTAAGAGTCTACCATCAATGACCTGTAGTTCTTATAAGAATTCTTTTGAGGGCCAGGGATTTAGCTCAGTGGTTCCGCCCTCTGCCTCACAAGTACAAGGTCCCAGGTTCAATCCCCAGTACCAAAAAAAAAAAAACCAATTCTTTTCAGAAACATTGTATCAGCACATTCCTGATGGTGCAGAGGAAGATGCTATGTGGAAAGATATTGTGGCTAATTTAGAAGGATCACTCTCTGAATGGGAAGTTTTTGTTTTGTTTAGTTTGGTTTGGTACCGGGGATTGAACTCAGGACCTTGTGCTTGCAAGGCAGGCGCGGACTGAATGAGAAGTTTTAAGAATACTTTAACCAATTCATTTCATTTATATTTTCCTTTTTATACAAAAGTAAAATATAAAATAAGAACTATTTAATTAAGGTGCTGAGTGGTAGAGTGCTTGCCTGGTATATGCAAGGCTGTGAGGTCCTGGATCGGATCCCCAACAAGGAAAAGAAAGGGCAGGGGCAGGGGCAGGGCATGGCAGGGAAGGAGGAAGGGCTAGGGGCAGATAGAAAGAAGGGAAGGGAAGGGAAGGGGAGGGGAGGAGAGGGGAGGAAGAAGAGGTAGGGGCAGGTAAAGGGAAGAGAAGGGAAGGGAAAGGGGAAGGGAAGGGATAGGGGCAAGGAGAGGGGAAGGGGGAGTGTCACAGCCTGCGTGGCAAGGGACTAGGGTCTGAGTAGGGCAGAAGATGTAGAAAACAAAGAATTAAAGCGGGACCGAGTGGGACCTCACCGCCTGTTGAGCGAGAAGAATATCACAGCCTATGTATCACTTTAAGGCATGAGAAGGGTATAAACAAGTAGATGGGGCAAGGTGTCTTTGGTAATTTGTTGTTTTAATATATTTTGAGACTAGCTGACTGATACGGCTGGTGGGAACAGGGACATGCAAGCTTGCTATTCCTGGGACCATGTCAACTAGGACTATAATAAACAGAGTATAAGGAACATTTTTTTGTACTCCAGGCTATTTTGGCAGGGTAAATCGGGGCACAAAGGGAGGGAAGTTATGAAGTGCAGGAGGCCAACAAGATGCCTCCTGATCTTGGTGGCCGACACGGGAAGGGGGGCGCGGAGGTTAGAGGGAGGAAGAGGGAAGGAAAGAAAAAGATGTCTAAGTATAAACATTCTTTTATAAAGTAAGGCAGGTGTGGTGGTACATGCCTGCAATCCCCGCATTCTGGGAAGCTGAGGAAGGAGGAACAAAAGGCCCTGGGTTCCATCTCCACCACCACTACCACTACCACTACTACCACCAAAATAAATAAATAAATAAATAAATAAATATCTTTATAAAATTAAAATTTAAATGATAAAGCACTGTATCATAGTACAATTAATATTTTTCTTAAAGTATATCTTACAAATGCCAGCATCAAGGTCTAGTAAATATTCTAGTTACACAAAGTAACTATTATGAAATCTATATTTACTTCCTCCTCCACCTAGGCAAAAATACTAAATACATTACCTTAAGGAAAATGTTAAAATTAGAGAAAACAATTATTTTGACTGCTCCCCTCTTTTGACAAGGTGATAAGAACTGATTAACATGATATCGTGGTAAGAGAACAGGAGTCAAAAGACACTGATTCTTTTTTTTTTTTTTGGTACCAGGAATCGAACTTGGGTCCTTGTGCTTGCGAGGCAGGAGGCAGAACCACTGAGCTAAATCCCTGGCCAAGACACTGATTCTCATCCATGATCTGGACAAATGAAGGTTACTCACTGGCCTCTGTTTATTTATAAAACAAGGTTAGACTAAATGATTCTTCATGATTTAAAAAGTTCTCTTTATTTGAGCATCTTTACTTACCAGCTAATTGATCATATTATAAAAACATGTCTGTGTTAATTTTCTCTAAATATATGAAAAGCAAATATGATCGATATTTTTGTTTATAATATTAACATTAACATGTTTCATTACTTAAAATTGTGACCTTATACCTAGAAAACAATTTCAGTCATAAAATTTATCCTTCTGCATTTTGAAAATCCATAATTATAATATACAAACTCTTTATGTTTGTTTCCCCATTTCCATGCAGAAACCTTTTTTTTTCACAAGAGTACGATACCTTAATTTCTCCTTCAGAATTTCAAGTTCACTTTTATATAGACCACCCTTTTCTTGTAGCCTTTTGTTTTCTTTTTCACAGTTAACTAGATTTTTCTCTAATATTTCTTCTTTGGCTTGAACCTAAAACAAGAAATTGTCTTAAGTGGATGTAAAAATGTAGCCATAAATTTTAAGTATCTCAAACTAAAAATTTAAATAGTAATTTCAAAAATAAGCATGAGGGCCGGGGATTCAGCTCAGTGGTTTCGCCACCTACTGCGCAAGCGCAAGGACCCGAGTTCGATCCCCGGTCCCCAAAAATAAATAAATAAATAAGCGTGAGACTAAACTAAGTGATTTCATATATTTAAGTCCTCAGCCTTGTAGCAAAATGAAGCTCCTGGGTTGTAATGAAAGTCAGGGAGCACAATGCTACTACTACCTGTCCAGAAATCCTTACGAGCCTGTAACAGGAAACAGCTCTGTCATCTGAAAGCAAAAGTACTCTAGCCTCATGTGAACAAGACAAGGAACTCAAGTAAGGTTGCTGTACTCAACTTACTAAGATTAAAGGGAAGTAATGTTCAGTGCAAATGTTCCACAAGTCATTTTTGAAATTTTAGCCACAAAATACCCCATTGAAATAACACCCCAAACATAAAACAGATAAAATTCAAGCATCCAAGTTGGAGAGAGAGGAGTGAAGGACTGGGAAGATATGTTCCATTTCCTGTTTTCATTTGTTACATCCACCCAACTATGGGGCACGACTCTGCAGTTAGAAATTGATAATCCTAAGGAAAATGTGAAAAACCTGCCTCTTACATTTTTTTCTCTTTCGTTAAAGATATTCCTCTTAGCTAAGTATTCGTTCTCCTACAGATCAGTTTATTAAAAATCTGTTCTAACATATTCTATTCCCACAGGACCTGCAAGGCTTTCAAAAACGGTAATCTGATTAATTCACACTTAAGATTTCAGTATTAAGAATTAAATTTTTATACTGGTATATGATATTTAGTTTTATTGCAAAGGAATGTCAAATAAAAATGTTCTTCAACTTCAGTACGTAATATGGTTGATAAGATCTCCTCTAAACTCTTATTCCTTATCTATGACACTATTGGGCTTTGACCATTCTTATTTTCACTACTTTTATTAACTGATCATGTTTTGTACTCTTCTCTTTTCATATATGCCCTTCCAAAACCTGGATAATTTTTTTTTTCTTTTTTGGTACCGGAGATCGAACTCAGGACCTTGAGCTTGCAAGGCAGGCGGCAGCACCACTGAGCTAAATCCCTGGCCCTTTAACCTGGATACTTTTTTCCCCTGCTACAGCTGTGCTATGAGAAGCACTTGGCCCAAGTTTCCAAAACCCCTCCCATCACCCTCAAGCTAAGCAAATAATTTTAGCAACATCTGAACTTATAAGATCAAAGACATTTAATTCAAAATCATTCAGGGCCGGGGATTTAGCTTAGTGGTTCCGCCGCCTGCCTCATAAGTGCAAGGTCCAGAGTTCGATCCCTGGTACCAAAAAAAAAAAAAACATTCAAATTTCTTCACCCTTCTACCTACAACTTTTTTCTGTATTTTTACTCAATTTTTTCCCTTAAGAAACAGAAATATCCCTATTTCATTAAAGTATAAGCTCTCAGACTATATCATCTTGTATCTCCTTCATATCTCTGTGCCATCTTTCAATCTCTGTAATTGCAAGATCTTTAATCTCTGTTATCTTCTGCACAGCCTCCTGCCCTTTAAATATACTATGGCATATGGCAGTAAGTTCAATTCTAAAAACCCCTTTCCTTAATGCAGCTTCTTTTTACTTTTCCATTTCCCCTTCCACTACCACTTGTTTCCTCTTCACCTATATAAAGAATAACTAATAGACTTATAAGAACTGATAGACTTATTACATACCTCTACTGCCTCTCTTCCCATTTTCCCACCTTGGAGGCTGTGTATTCTATATAGCTCTGTCCTGTTCTCCATCCCTCTTTTTATTTATTTTTTTCTTTGTAGAACTTTTGGGGGGGGGTATGGGACTCAAACTCAGGACCTTGTGCTTTAGAGACAGGCACGGTGCCACTGAGCTAAATCTTTGGCCCTTTGTAGAACTTTGTAGACGATGGCTATCTGAGTTCTATTTTGGAATGTCTTTGTTTCCAAATTATCTATTTGGATTCAGTCACTCAAGCCAGCAACCTAATACTTTTCTTTCTCACTGCCTGCTTCTAATATATTCAAGTGGTCACCAGATCCCACTGATTCTTCAGCTTTGATACCGCTCATACCTACAGACTCAGATCCATGATCTTTAGTATCTTTTGGCTGGTCTGAGTGTTCTTGACTTGTGTCTCGTCTCTCCAATACAGCTTTATAGCAATATAAGAGTGAGCATCCTAAAACGTGTATCTGACCATTTCCTCAGCTTAATATTATTCAGTGGTATAACATCATTGGGAGGAGGTCTCAACCTGTAGCACAGGCTGGCCTTGAACTCATCACAATCCTCCTGCCTCAGCCTCCCCAGTGCTAGGATTACAGATGTGTGCCACTACACCTGGCATAACATCATTTTTGAGATAACTTAGCAGCCCAAGTATCTCCTACTCTGTGAAGTGTTCTTTAGGTCCACCAGAGTTTGATAATTCCCCTTTATGCCACAAGCAATACCTACTACTTTTTATTATATTTTATTTCAAAATATTAAAATTTTGTCGTGTGTTCATACATACTTGCCAATCTTTTTTTTTTCTGTTTATCTCTTTTATTGAGTGTATTGGTACATTTTAGGTATACAATACGATGACATTCATCATTGGGAATTTGTACCTGTACATGATGTATCTTGGTTCTTATTTTTCCCCCTTCCCCTGCCCTCCCTTCAACCCCTCCATTCCTCCCTATTTACAAAGACTTTCTTTCCATTTTTTCATTTTCTCATATTTTTCCTTTCCTTTCCTGTACCCCTCCCACTTCCCTTTCCCTTTTAGACCTTTTCTTCCTATTTCACATTGTCTATTATACCTTTTGGTCCTCATTTACACTTTCACACACCAGAGGAACTATTCAGTATTTACACATGTGTGTCCTATTTATTTCACTTAAAGAGGATGGCCTCAACATGTATCCATTTAGCTATAAATGTCTCTAGTTTCTCATTCTTTATGGCTGAGTAGTACTCCATTTTATAAAATAACCACACCTTCTTTATCCAGTCTCCAGTTGATGAGCAATTGGGCTGTTTCCAAGCTTTAGCTATTACAAGCTGTGCTGCTATGAACATGGGTGCACATATATTGTTTTGTTTACTTCAATTTGAGAACCATTAGTTATTCTGTCCAATAGCCTTAAGAAGCTGGGTTCAAAATCTGAGGCCAGAATCTTCTGGATTTTGACGGTGTGCCTGCTCTGGGTGGACATGACCAGACACTGGCTTCCCCAGAGAGGCACAGGTAGCCTGAGTGTGGTGACTGTGGACAGGCACAGGGTTTATGACCCCAGCAACAGCAGTGGTGACAGCATTGGCTGCCTCCCTCAACCCTGCAGCCCCACAGGCTGTGGTGCATCCACATAATTTGGAATAGGAAAACAGAGAGCTTGTTTGTGTTTTTGTGTTGAGACTTCAAGCTGATTGTAGTGAAAAGCTTTGTATTTAGTATGGAGATCTCTTCAGTTAATGTCTGCTTTTCAGTGGTTTCCTCTGGGTCTGGCTAACTATTGGCCTTACCCGGGATCCAACCACCTCTGTTTCCTTGGAATGGGAGGTTGCAGCATATTTGGCCCAGTACTCAGTTCTCCAGGAATGGGCCACAGTATTAATGACCCTAAGACTATCCAGATGTACTGGCATATAGAGAAAACCAATTAAAAGCAACAGCTATGTCACCTTGGCTAAAGAAATAAAATCAGCATCAATTACAGCATGAAATACAAACAATATTGACAAACCCTAAAGATCAATAATGTACCACCCTTCACCACAGAAAAGAGATCTATAAGTATGAACTCCAAGACAAACCAAGTATTGACCTACAGTAAATATCTACTAAATGGAACAACTTTACCTCTCATTACAATAGAATAGTACTTGATGGCAATAGTGTAATGTTAACTAGTTAACTAAGCTTAATAATGCTTAGTAGTTATGTTAAAAAAAATAGAAGGGGTGGAGAATTGGAGAATGAAAAAAGCAATAATTGAAATATTTATCAAAGGGATATGAGGATGAGAAAAAGAAAAGCAGGGATTCCTATTTGAGGAGTAAAAGGAAATTAATAATTTTAGAAAACAGTCACAGGAAATAACAAATAAGAAAAAAGAAAAAATATAGGAAATAAAATAAAGGAAGACAAAGAAGTTGAAAGGGAAAAAGAGCAAGAAAAGAGAAAAAAGGAGAAAAAACCCTAATCCTGACAAAAACCCATAAAGGAAAGATAAAAATAATAAGAAATAGAAAATCAAAAAAAGAATGAGTAAAGAAAAAATTCCTGTGTTTTTAAATGAGTGGTTTTTTTCCAATATCTGCAGTCTTGGGATCCAGTCAGTCACGATGTTCTTCCCCTGGCTTTAGGACTTACGGGCTTTTGAGGTGTCCTCCCAGAGCCCTCTCTGTCCTTTCATTTCAGACTGTGCCTACGGTCCAAGCCAAGGCATGCCCTTCCTCTTGCTGGTGGATGGGGAATGGAGTTTGAAGGACAGTGACTCTTCCTTTTGCCCAGTACCTTGATCTTTTGGTGGTACTAATAAAGAATTCTGCATTATGATGTGTTTGGAAACACCAACTTGAACAGCAACTTTCTTGAGGTCATCTGACTCAGCAAATGTCTTCTAACTTCACAACTTCAGTACCTGATGACACATGGCATTTCTCCTTATCTATTTCCCAAGGTTCTTGTATTCATAAGATACATGGCAATTTTAATTAATTAGTTTTCCTACAGCAGGTGCGTCACCCTTGCCAAATCTTAATAGTCTGAACTCATTAGAGTAAGCTACATGTATTAAATATTATTGAATCTCCCAGCAATTAGCACAGGATGTGGCATATAAAACCCAAAGAGGGGCCGGGGATTTAGATCAGTGGTTCCCGCGCCTGCCTCGAAAGCACAAGGTCCCGAGTTAGATCT